CAATACATCTTGATTGCATGTTTGATCAATTTCAGATTGAAGAAGTTGGTAGAATTATTCTATGTCATCCTCACTGGCTTTAGTGATTGGTGCATACATTTGAATAATAGTGGTATTAACTGGGCTTCCCTGAAGGCACATGGATACTATCCTATCACATACAGCGTTGTACCTCATGACTGATCTGGATATGTTCTTTTTGACAACAAATGCAACACCATTCCTGTTCAACCTGTCATTCCCGGCATAGTAAATCATGTGGTTGTCAGATTCAAAATGGCCAATACCAGTCCATTTCAGCTCACAAATGCCTAAGATATCGATGCTTATGTGTTCCATTTCATTTTTGACAATTTCCAATTTTCTCAGATTCATACTTTGTACATTCCACGTTCCGATTTTCAATGGATGTTTACAGCTGTTTCTCTTCATTTTGAGTTGTGTCTCACCAGTAAATGAAGGTCCCGCGGGCTTTTCTCCCATGTGCTTTACTTCATTCGCGTTATCACAGTCAACTCTACTCCGAGGAGGCAGCTCTTCCCCAGTCACATTTTGAGTGCCTTCCAACCTGAGGGGCTCATTTTCTGGCACTAAATCTGACAGTGTTTCTCTGCTATCCATAAGGTTTTCAGTGGCTAAATATTTGGAAGTGGTTTGTCACGCCTTCTTCCTAGTCTGTTTTCGTCTGGAAGCTCGTCTGAAACCTGTCCACCATGGGTGACCCTGCTGGTATTTAAAATACTGGTAGCATAGCTTCCAGAATCACAGCAAGTCACAAGTCACCACAGTATGACAAGCTGACAGACAAGTGGTAGTGTAGTGGTTATGAACTGGGCTGCTAACCTCACCGTCAGCAGTTCAAAACTACCAGCCATTCCACCCTTGGGAGAAACATAAGGCTTTCTGCTTCTGTGAAGATTTACAGCCTTGGAAACTCTACACAGGGTCCCTCTGAGTCGGATTTGACCCCACGGCACACCACCACCATCCTTAATGATTTATTGAGTTGAAGTTCAAAGTTGTGGTCCTGGACTGGACCCCAGGACCACTTGGTTATGTATCATGCTCCGCCTAGCAGAACCAGTCCTGTAAGCTTTTCAAACCTGTAGCTCTGGACACATCCCAATCACAGTCTTTCCCCGACTGCTGTAGCAACAAGGATGAGCTGACCTGCCACCAAGCATGATCTTGGGATGATTTCTTTTGTCTCCCATGGACTCTAATCAGCTCTCTGGCCATGAACTCACTGGATTCCATTCTACTCATGCTGAGGGGTCCCCTCATCTGATGACTGTCAGTGTTTCATCTTGGTCTTATTTAAGGCTTAATTAAAGACTGTCTATAAAAGATGTGTGAATTTGGGGTCTCCGTGTTTTCCCTAGCACACAGCTCAGTAACCCCACAAGTTTCCCACCTCCTCTTCTTCCACCTCTAGTCAAGCTGCTTTGTGAAATGTGTCCTTTGGAGAGACTTCTTGTTGTTAAGTGCCATGGAGTCAGTTCTGACTTACAGCGATCTTGTATAGGGTTTCTGAGGATTAATTTATGAGTTTGAACTGCTGACCTTGTGGTTCAAACCAACCTTGTGGTCCAATGCTTATCTTACAGCACCCCACTAGGATTCCCAAACGTTATATATATATTGTTGCTGTTAAGTACTGTGAGTTGGTTCTGACTCACAGTCACCCTGTACCAGGTTTCTGAGGAGCGGCTGGTGAGTTTGAACCACTGACATTGTGGTTCAAACCGACCTTGCGGTCCAGTGCATTAACCCGCAGCACCACAGTGGGGCTCAGCCAGATAATCACCCACTCGGTGCTATCTCAGAGACTTGTCTGGGCCTAGATGCTGAATCTCTAAATGCTCTAATGTGGTAAGACTATCAACACTGGGGAGACAGAAACGCAATCTACCTAAGAGGCTCCCTTACCATCCACTGGCCGGCATCTTCATCAATTCAGAAACGCCAAAGGAAAGGGACCCCATGAAGTCATTTCTTGTTGTTCGATCCCAGTCCCAGATTTCTACAGACAGACGTCGGTCTTTGTCTGAAGGCTTTAATTTGCTGCAAAGAAAACACACGCACTAGGTTTGATCATGGTTTCTTGGGAGAGACCACATGCTTATGATCTGAGCTTACGGCAGAAAAATGGTATATTCAGTTTTCTCCCGCGGGCTCATCCGTGCTCACAAAGTAGCAGCCCCTAGTTCTCCTCCAGGAGGTAGCAAATTACGGCCCTTGAGCCAAATCTGACCCACTGGCTGTTTATTGGAACACACCTACGACCACTGGTTTACACAACATCTATAGCTGCTGTGGAGCTAGACTAGTGGAAGTATGTTTTTGCGACTGAGATCGTGTGGCTCATCTAATCTAAAATGTTGACAGAGGAGCCCGGGTAGAGCTGAGCTCTGGTTAAAGGCTCACGTGCTAACTGAAAGCAAAGTTTGCCGGTCACTGCTCTGTTCGTATGCAATCAAGACTACCCTTCCAGATCACCGGAGGAACATGGGGGGGACGCCATCATCGAAATGAAGTCTATGATTTGTTGAATGTATAACTGATGATCTGTTCTGTGAATCTTCATTCAATTCACAATAAAAAGATAAAAAATAAACAAAACAAATAAAGAGTGCTCTTTCGGGCTGTACACAGCCAGACAGCTTCGTGAATTCAAACCTATAAAGAGGACCGTTCAGCTGCAGCGAGAGCTTTCTGAAAAGCTGGCTTGTTTATGCCGTCTCTCTTTCAAACACTAGCTCCTCCTTCCCTTCCACCATCTGAGCTCTGGTAGCGTAGTGGTTATGAATCAGGCTGCGAACCTCAAGGTCAGCAGTTCAAAACTACCAGCTATTCCGTGGGAGAAAGATGAGGCTTTCTGCTCCCATAAAGATTTACAGCCTCGGAAACCCTGTACAGGGTCACGATGAGTCAGAACCGACTCCACGGCACATTAACAATAACATAATACTTTAAATCAGGGGTGGGGAGCATCCGACCTACAGGCTGTATAAGCGAAATCATTTGGTCTGGCCCTGCCAAGGCAAGTACAGGCAGGGCTCAAAATTCAGTAAAGCTCAGAGCTTTTTGCATAGCAACATACATTTATATTAAGTGATGTAATAAACATCCAAATGGTCCTTGGCAGAAAAAAGGTTCCCCACCCTGCATGTACAGAGTGTTACTGTTGTTTAAGACTAAAAAGTAAATTTTCTATTCTACAGTCGTGTGAGTTGTCAATTTGAACTGAACTCAGCTAAGAAGTCCTTCTGCTCTGGGTTCGACCTGGGGAGTCCTGGTGGCTGAAGTTAAGTGCTTGGTTACTAGCCAAAATGTCGGTGGTTCAAATCCACAGGAGAAAGATATGGTAATCTGCATCCATAAAGAATTTTGTTGTTGTTGTTGTTAAGTGCCGTCAAGTTGGTTCTGACCCATAGCAACCCTGTACAGGGTTTCCAAGGAGTGACTGTTGAGCTTGAACCACTGACCGTGCAGTTCAAACTTTGAGGTCCAGCACATTAATCCACAGCACCACACCAATTTGGGACGGCATTAAGCAATTTCTTGGTAAACCGAGTTAATACCCATCCAACCAGGGTGGTAAGAGCAGTGGAGAAGGTCTTAGGGATAAAGAGGTGTGGTAATGAACCACCTCTGTGAAGTGGGCAGTTGTGTGGTGTGTACGAAGGTAATTCAGTGGAGAAGAGACAACTTACAATGTAAAGGACTCATTCCACTGGGGGTTCAGTGTTGAGCGGATGGTTTTGGTTTTTTGTTTGCTTTCATTCTTAGGATCAGGAATCAGTTTCAGCTTCACGTAGGGATCAGAAAGTCCATTCGGATCCATAGGGATTAGATTTTTTGCATCTCGTACTGTGAAAACAGAAAAAAGATCATGTGTTAGAAAAAAAAGGCTGACATGCAATGCTCAGTGTCCTGTGGTCAATCAATGCTGAGCTGAGAGAGAAAGGCACCAGGAAGGGTGTCTGGGTGGGGACGAGGCAGGAACCAGACGCTTCTGACACGAACCACGACAAACGCCACCTGCTGCTGTCACTGCTAGAGAGAGTGGGACAGTCCTGGGCTTCCAGGTGTGGTCCTGGGCCAGCAGCATCAGGAACACCTAGCCCTTGTCAGAAACCTGGATCCAGGCCAGACCTGTTGAAGCAGAATCTGCTTGTGACTGAGAATGCCAGGAGAAGCAGGCAGTACTGCTCCAGAATGACCGACAGATGCATCCTTCCCCGCCACCAACCCTTCCATGACCAGGGGACGTGAGTCGTGCACAGTTTTTGCCTCACTGTGTCTTGGGATGCTAGAGCTCCCCTTACAGTGCGTGTTGGCTCAGGCAGGGACGTGTCTAACAGCCAATAAATGACGAAACATTCAGTGGTGCCAGCTTTAGTGGGTACTGAATGTGGGGTGCATCCTGGCGGTGTGAATGTGCAAAACTTCAGTCATTCTTTTGCATTGGTACAGAGAGGCCAGCCTTTTAAGTATGGCCTATGTTTTGGTGAGGATGTAGTGAATAACTTACGTTCAAGTGCAGTCCTTCCTTTGCATAAACCATAGACTCCTACGCTCTTTGCTAGGGCTCTCTCTCCCCAAGGTGTTTTTCTCATCATTCTGTGCACACTGTTGTTCAGGACACCAGGTAACGACGGGGCAGACCTGACAAACTTTTCTTCAGGTTCATTCAGAAGAGGCAACATAATGTGACCAAGAAATCCAAAAAAGACGAAGACTTGCCTTTCTGGTAGAGAACAAGTCAGGTGTAAGTGGGGTGCACTGATGGGTGGCTTCCACAGGTTGGAATGCATTTTACCTGCAGAGGGATCCAGAGGGCGAGGCAGGGCATGCGGCTCTAAGAAGAAGGGTACTAGGCCTTTCTGGGTTACCCTGTGTTTTCAAAAGTTTCACCCAGTGAAATCAATTTGCTAACAACAAACGATGTTTGCCATGCCTCCACTCACCTCTCCTACTTCCAGAGTCCAGGGGAACCTATATCTCCTGTTGTTGTTGTTGTTGTGAAGTGCCGTCAAGTCGATTCTGACCCACAGTGACCCTGTATAGGGTTTCCGAGGAGCTGATGGTGAGTTTGAACCGCCGGCCTTGCGGTTTAAATGGCTTTGCAGTCTGGTGCATTAAACCACAGCATCACACAAGGACTCCCTACAGACTATTAAAATCTATGTTATTGGTGGTAAGTGCCGTCGAGTCAGTTCCGACTCATAGTGATCCTGCGTAACTCAAAGATTCAGCATATATTTTGTTACTGAAACACCTTATCTAACAGTTATGCTGCAGACAGGAAAGGGGAACTGACCAGATGCAGATGATGACAGCACCGTGTCCACACCGGAGCTTCCAGAAGATGAGAGGCATCACCTTTCTTTGTATGGACTCGGCATGTCCCACCCAGACTGCACTGGAGAATCCCAAAGCTCCGACTTAAATGACTACCTCTAAGGGGGTGGAGAGTCCTGGTGTGACACTGAGGGAGAAGTACTGGACTGCTAAGTTCAAACCCACTAGATACTCCTCGAAAACCTTCAATCTTTTCAATTTATATGGAGGCTGTTTATTTGTCCAGTGGTAAGGAGTTTTGTTTTCTTTACATTGAGGTGCAACCCATATCAAAGGCTGTAGTTTTTGATCTTCATCAGTATTTCAAGACCTCTTCACTTTCTGCAAGCAAAGTTGTATCATCTGCATATCACAGGTTGTTAACGAGTCTTACTCCAATCCTGATGGCACATTTTTCTTCATATAATCCAGCTTCTTGGATTATGTGCTCAGCATACAGATTGAATAATTATGGTGAAAGAATACAACCTTGGTGCATACCTTTCCTCATTTTAAAACCATTCAGTGTTCCCTTGTTCTGCTTGAACTGCCTCTTGGCCTATGTACAGGTTCCTCATGAGCACTATTAAGTGTTCTGGAATACACAGTCTCTGCAATGTTGTCATGATCCACACAATCAAAAGCCTTTGCATAGTCAGTAAAGCACAGGTAAACACCTTTCTGATATTCTCTGCTTTCAGCCAAGATTCATCTGACATCAGAAATGATATACCTCGTTCCACATCCTCATATGAATCTGGCTTGAACCTCTGGCACTTCTCTGTCAATATATATTTGCAGCCGTTTTTGGATTCTATTGAGCAAAATTTTACTTGTATAAGACATTAATGATATTGTCCAATGACTTCTGCATTTCCTGTTGGGTCACCTCTCTTTGGAATGGGCACAAATACGGATCTCTTCCAGGCAGTAGGCCAGGTAGCTGTCTTCCAAATTTTTTGGCATAGATGAGTGAGTGCCTCCTGTGCTGCCTCACTTTCTTGAAATATTTCAATTGGTATTCCATCAATTCCTGGTACCTTGTTTTCTGCCAATGCCTTCAATGCACCTTGGACTTTTTCCTTTAGTATCAGTGGCTCTTAATCACATGCTACCTTTTGAAATGTTTGAATATCAACCATTTCATTTTGATTCAGTGACTGTATATTCTTTCCATCTTCTTTTGATGCTTTCAATTTTGCCCACAGAATCCGTTAATATTGCAAGTCAAGTCTTGAATGTTTTCTTCAGTTCCTCAGCTTAAGAAATGCTGAGCATGTTCTTCCCTTTTGGTTTTCTAACTCCAGGTCTTTGCACATTTTCTTGTAATATTTGAATTTGTCTTCTCAAGCTGCTCTTTGAAATTTTCTATTTAGCTCTTTTACTTCTCTATTTCTTCCATTTGCGTTAGCATCTCTACATTGGAGAGCAAGCTTCACAGTCTCTTTTGATATCCATTTTGGTCTTTTCCTTCTTTCTTATCTTCTTAATGACCTTTTGCTTTCTTCCTGTCTGATGTTCTTGATGTCATCCCACAACTCTTCTGGTCTTCTGTCTTTAGTCTCTAATGCAACAAATCTGCTCTTCAGATGATCTCTAAATTCAGGTGGGAGATGTTCAAGGTTGTACTTTGACTCTCGTGGACTTGTTTTCATTTTCTTCAGCTTCAGCCTGAACTTTACATATGAATAATTGATGGTCTGTTCCATAGTCTACCCCTAGCCTTGTTTTGGCTAGGGGTAGACTGTTTGGAGCTTTTTTACTGTCTCTTTCCACAGATGTAGTCAATTTGATTTCTGTGTATTCTATCATGTGAAGTACATCTTTTATGGTGCTTGCAATGAAGAATCATTGGTCTTGCAGAATTCTATCACGCGATCTTCAGCATCATTTCTATTACCCAGGCCATATTTTCCAGCTACTGAGCCTTCATCTTTGATTCCAACCTTTGCATTCCAATCGCCAGTAAGTATCAATACATCTGGAATGCATTTTTGGTGCATTTCAGACTCAAAAAATCGATAGAATTATTCAATTTCATCATCACTGGCTTTAGTGGTTGGTGTGTAAATTTGAATAAACTGGTCTTCCTTGTAGTATAGATATTATCCCAGCACAGACAGCTTTGCACTTCAAATAGATCTTGATATGTTCTTTTGATGATGAAAGGGATACTATTCCTCTTCAATTTGTCATCCCCGGCGTAGTAAGGCATGTGATTGTCAGATTCAAAAGGGCTAAACCAGTCCATCTCAGCTCACTAATGCCTGGGATCTCGATATTTACGTGCGCCATTTCATTTCTGACAACTTCCTGTTTTCCAACATTCATACTTCATACATTCCATGTTCCAATTATTAATGGATGTTTACAGCTGTTTCTCTTCATTTTGAGTTGTGTTACTTTAACAAATGAAGGTCCCTGAAGGCTTTACTCCATTTGCATCATCACGGTCAACTCCACTTTGAGGAGGAGCTCTTCCCTAGTTGCATTCTGAGTGCCTTCCAACCTGAGGGGCTCATCTTCTGGCACTCTATCTGACCACATTCTGGGTCATGTTTCAGTAGTCAATATTCTGGCGCTATCTGGAAGTGTTCTACTGCTGCCCATAGATTTTCAGCCACTAAAGATTCGGAAGTAGTCTGTCTCTCCTTCTTCCTAGTCTGTCTTAGTCTGGAAGCTCAGCTGAAACTTGTCCACCATGGGTGACCCTACTGGTATTTAAAATACCCGTGGCATAGATTCCAGAATCACAGCAACAGACAAGTCACAACAGTAGGACAAACTGACAGATGAGTGGTGGTCTATCCCATTGTTGTTATTGTTAAGTGCCGTGGAGTCGGTTCCAACTCATAGCGACCCTGTACAGGGTTTCCGAGGCTGTTAATCTTTACGGGAGCAGAACGCCTCATCTTTCTCCCGCGGAACGGCTGGTAGTTTCGAACTGCTGACCTTGCAGCTCGCAGCCCGAGTCATAACCACTATGCTACCAGAGCTCCTTTTAGGGGTGAGTTAATTAAATGGTTGCCCAAATACAGTAGGCCAAATTTTAAGTTGATAATTTTGTACAGCCACTGAAGGATGTTATAAAGTTTTGCAAAATAAAGGTTCCTCACCCCTCCTTTAAATGGACTCACTTTTTATCATTCAACATTTAAAAAGGAAATATCACTATGATAAATGGAAAGACAGGATTGTTTGCCATAAACAAAAGTACTCATAAAGGTAAACACAATGAAAATCTAACAGCGCTATTAATTTCTAGCTGGATGCAGTTTCCGGAAGCGTGATCTCTTTTAGCAACAAAGAGGAAATGAACAAATGTTGCATTGTTATGAATATTCTAGCCTCAGACATTCCTTCCCTTCATTACAACTAAGACTGAAAGAAAATATAAAACCTTGTTTACCATGTCATTTAATGCTTTTTAACGTTATTAGAAATCACATGATGTGCTACTGAAGGCTGTGCCCTGCCTGGGAAACACTGTGGGTGACAATGCCAACCTTGAGGATGTGAAGGACATG